AAGGTCAGGTAAAGAGTTATGCTAATAAGCAAATCTCCCTGCACACAGGCAAGTTACTTCAAAGAAGTTTTAATTAGAGGGCCATCCTAGTTTTCTTTAGCTCTTTAGGGGAGAATAGAGGCAGCAAACAGTGATTAACAACCCTTGTTAGGTTGTTTTAGCACAACTTCTGTTGTTTTTAGAGGGCAACAATGGTTAACATATCAATTCGGTAAGGTTTTACAATTCCATACAGAGAAAAGCATTGATTAATATATCAATTAGGTAATCCAAAGACATAAGAAGGAAAACACATACAATAAGCCCGTGTTACAGGTTTTGTTATAATACAAATATAACAAAGCTATTTTTTTAGAGTACAGCAAGGAGCATTGTCACATTTTAAGTTAGTACAGCAAATAGGAAATTAGAAAGACTGGGTAGAACTTCTAGGCAAAAAGTTTCCAAATGTGTACGCACTGTGAGATGCAGGCATAGAGGGAGAAAAACCAAAAAAAGAGCAGTCACATTTTATGGTTTACCTAAAAGTGTAGTGTAAACTCAAACATGGAAGTTACACCATGTACCATTACATATTTAAAAGAACATTAGATTCAAAGAAGCTCACATAGCAGCAGAACATTGAACAACAGCCCGAACCCACAAAAAATAATGGTTAATGTTACATATTTGCTTTCCAAGCCCACAGTTACCCATCAAATTCAGACAGCGTTTAATGTACAGACCACCCCTGTGCTATGAGACAAACTGTTGACACTCTATCCATGTTTTTAGGCTGTTCTTGGCTCAAGTATAGGAAACAATCTTTCTCTGTCAACCTAATGCCAACTGGAGGGTTGTCTAGTTACGCTTGTCCATAAGGACCCCTCATCCAATATACTCACAAACAACCAGTATAAAACTCATTTTCACATTGGCATAATGTCATCTTTTAGGTACCTGCCACCTGCCTTCTTTTTGTTCATGGAGAATATGGTATCAGAATATCTTAATGATCCAGGTCATCTTCATAATCAGGGTGAAGCAGCTGACTTCAAAAATTCTGAGTGAAAAAATGTCTCCTGCAACACAGGTGTTCCAGGCTATGATTAAAAAGGTAAAAATGAAGACATACAAGAAAAAAAACCACAAAAATGATGTACATGAACACACAGAAATAAAAATCTAGATGTACTTTCTGCATATGTAACCACACACAAAAACATATATTTAATATGCATATAGGTATGGCAATGTATATGAAAATGTATAGAAACACAGAGAGAAGTATTGCATATAGAAAGTTAGAGATAGATAGAGATTCACATAGCCGTGTTGACAATCACATTTCCCATTGTAACTGACATTATACTTAAAAATATTTTAAAGTCCTTTTATGTAGCCTATATTGTCTCTGTCAAATTAGATCATAAAATCCAGAAATAGGCAACTGAGCCATGTAACTGAAACAAAATCCAGAATTCTAAGACTCTTTCAACTGACAGATAAACTCAGAGCCCCATTGAAACCTTCCTAGTGATCTTTCTCCCCAAAACCCACTGGAAACTGCCAGCATTCTAAGATATACTCCTGCCTCTATTGCAAGAACTTCCTGAAAAGAAAATATCTAGACTTACTAGAGTGACCATTCAAAACACAATTCTAATTATGAAATCACTTCGTTTTGCTGAACTGAAATATGTACAGTGTTGTTTTGATGACTTCTAAGAGTGATAGACAGTTTTCAGAATAGTCAGCATACATCTTCGGTGTGTGTTTTGTGTTTGTGTGAGGTTTTTTTTTTTTTTTGGTGTGTGTGTGTGTGTGTGTGTGTGTGTGTGTGTGTGTGTGTGTATGTGTGCATGAAACTCGCAGCAACCATTTGACTATTGGTACATCACTTAATATCTCTGACTGCTTCATCTTAGAATGTGTAAATGTAAGTCCAGTGCAGGATATGAAAACTGCAGTTGGATAAACTAAATAAATCCCTGTTAAAACAGGGTAAGGTATAGATTAATAATGATGTCTTTTATTTTCTCGTTTGTTTCATACATTCTGCTACTAAGTAATAGTCACACATTATTTCAGGATTGCTATGATGTACCTTTACCTTACTTCTTCAGATTTTTATGGCTCAGTTAGCAGTTGACAGCGCCATAAATATCCTTCCTTCAGAAACATTTTATAGCACCCAGGCTGGGAAACCTCTCACAACTAACTAATTCCTGTTCATTTAACCCATTATAAAATATAGGGAAAAATAAAGCCCTGGTCTTACTGATTCTGTGATGACTAGAGCAACAGTGAGATTTCTGGAGAGAAAGAACCTAACACAACAATGTGAACTGATACCAGTCCCTCTAATTCCAGTTCCCATTATGTCCTCAGGAGAACTTAAGGACCACTTACGATCTGTGCATATGCAGTTAAGAACCCATACCTGCAAATTCAGAGTCTTAACATGACACAAAAAGCAAGTAGCACATTGTCATAAAAAAAACCTTCATTATAATTAATCCTTTTAAATGTAAATAGTTTAAACTTTCCAAACATTTAAAGAATGATTTTAGAAACATGATCCAGCCATGCAATATTCAAAATAGACAAGTGCACAGAGAAAAAAGATTAGCAGTGCAGTGAGCAGGACGAAGAGGTAAAGGTTAATGGGGAGCAGTCATTTTATATTTATACAAAGTTCAAGGTGCTAGAAATATTTTGAATTTTGAAATGCACGTTTTGAATGCCGTAAATTCTACTGAATTGTATGCGTATAAATAGTTACACATATAACTTTTTAACTTCCCCTCAGTTTTAAAAATGAGACAAAAATGTGTTTATCATCATCCCTTGTTAAAATTTTCAATGCAAATATAACAAATGTATTAGATCATACTGCAAAACGTTAAAGCTAAGTATTAATCAGTGAAGAAAATCAGGTAATTTTTTTGTGCAACTGAGTCAAGTTTGGGAAGAGTTTAATAATTTACAGTTTATGTTTATTTTTTAGTGTACAACTTTAGACATTTATTGCATATTAAATTTTTTAATAAGTCTATGAAAAAATTATTAAGGTAATACTGAGTAATTGGATAATTTAAATGTGTTTAAAATGTTTACATTGTAAGATTAATTATGAATGAGTACAATAGGAAGTAAATTGCAGTGTATATGCAGCATTGCACTGAGTTAACGTGCTCACCGCATAAGTTTAATGGGCTGTATATATGACTATAGAAATCCGTACAGTGATTCCTCAGAAAACTAAAACTTCTACTCAGCCCAGTCACCACCCTTCTAAAGATAGCAGTTTCCCTATCTTCCTAAAAGAGTGAGAAACATTATTACAGTAATATACTCATATCCATGTTCATAGTAGCACAATTCATAGCAGCTATAACTTAGAAGCACACTGTTTGTCTGTCCAGGATTACATGAATTTTTAAAAATGTGGCATTGAACACAAAGGAGTACTACTCTTCTATAAGCAGGACAAACATGAGTCATTTGTAGAAAATGGTTGTACTTAGGACCATGATGTTAAGTAATCAATCAACACAACATTAAATATCACATGGTTTCTCTTTTATCAGAAACCTAAAGTATAAATGAAGAGCCAAATAAAAGACACATAACAAGAAACAGTGATAGATTTTTTTCAGATAAAAAGAGGAGTAAGAGTTGTAAGGAGTGGAAAGAGAAGAGACAAGAAGAGGACAAGAAGAAATAAAATGCATTACATAAAAAATTCTCACAATAAGTATAATCATTATGTAACACAAATATGTATAATAAAATTTTCAATTGACTGGGGGAGATAGACAAAGGCATGCTATTTTTCCTTCCTGCTCTCTGAATATTCTTAATGAATATGTATTATAATTACAGTAAGAAAGAAAATTTTGCCTTCTAATTATTTACTACTGGGAAAGTTCAGTTAAAAACAAGCTGAACTTTGATAAATTGTGATGGTCCTCTATTGAGAAGGAAGATACACCAGAATGTTTTCTTCTCAAGTGTAATACTCCTAATAGAAAAACATGTAAAACATGAACAGGAAACTTAAATTACTAAATCAAATTGTTCAGACCTACAGTTGGCCCTTGAGCAACAGGGTTGCAGTGGATTCAGGCAGGCAGGCTTCAAAATAGGAACACTATGGCAGAAAGATTTCATAGAGCAAGGCAATTCTCAATTCCTATAAAATGGGAAGATGAGAAAAGAAAAAGAGCCCTAAAAACTAGGGACCAGAATCCTAATATACACACCAAGACAACTCCATATTTTAGTTCTGGTGATTCTACTGGGATCCACAACAGCACAATCAATGCAAAGGGAGTAACCTATGTCAAGACATAGACTGAATAGCAAGGACCCACAGCAATTTGCTAATTTAGACTAAAAATGCCAAGTGCAGACATTTTGTTGAAAAAATATTGAGAAGAGAGGCCTACTCCATCACACTCAATGTTTACAATTAAATAAGAAATGTTTAGGATTCCCATAGAAGGAGGCTATGATGATATCAGAGGCACCAGATTGATTGAGTGGATGCTGGCCACACTTTGTTATTCCTAAGTACATTGCTCCACTGTGGCCTTCCTGAAATTGGGTTACTGGGTTTCTGTCTCTTTCATCAGATGGTCAGCTTACTCTCCAGCATGCTTGCTCCTAGCACAAGAGATGGTCCTAATACTCAAATGCTTCTACAACTACTCTGATGAAACCTGGCATTGATAATTCTGTCACTGGGAACCCAGGTTTATGAGAATGTCCTGGCCAATACCACATCCTGCAGACCCACCTTGCTCGCCTGGGTTTCTGGTGAGGACAGGAACACATGATTTGATCTGACTCATCAGCTGTGGTCATTGTATGGGTCTCATACACTTGAAAGGTGTCATGATGAGCGGAGACAGTGGCAGTAGTGTGTTGTTTTAGAAAGCTTCTCAGGGTAAAGCACCACAAAACCAGTGTCAAACATGTGCTCACTAAGCAAACTCCTCCCCTTTCCTCTGTTGGGGATAAAAGACAACATGGAAAAATCTTCAGAAGTTCTGACCTGGAGTTGCTTCTTGCTTCTTGGGAAGATGCAGCTGCTCCTGCTGCTGTTGGCCTTTTTTCTGCTCCCCAGAGCAGAGTCAGGTGAGTAACCATCTCCACCCTCCAGAGGCCCAATCTTATTGCACAGAGACCGTGAATCTCCTGTCCCTATGCAATACCCCCAGAGTCTTCTGTCTGCCAGAATTTCTCTGAAACTGAACTCCAAACCCACCAGAGGGAACCAGGTAGGACACTGCATAAGTTACTGGAGTTTGTTTTCAAGAAGAGCCAGTGGATACTGTACCCTCAGTAAGCCTCAGCTTGCACATCTAGAGAGTCTTTCTTCAAAGTTCATGCAGGTGAGAAGTAAAAAGAAGAAAATATCAAGCACTCCTAAACAGGGCAGAATAGGCCAGTCTTCCAGGTCAGGGGAGGGGAAAGGCTTTGTATTCATCTGCCTAGCAGAGATGCCCAGAGTTCCTCAGAATGCATGCAATCTCTCTCCTCAGAACACTCTTTGTGCCTCGCCTCACTGCTACTAACTTTCTCCTGCTCTACTTTCCTCCTCTGGACTTCAGTGGCTCCTCTGTTTTCCAGTAGGAGACACAGAGGCAGAGTCACAATTCTTTGCTTTCCAGAATGCCATCTGCACTGCTCTACTAATCAGACACTAACTGCAGCTCTTTCTTCATGCTGCCAGGGAACAGATCTGAGACACCCTCTACATGTCAGGCCTTAGGAAAGAGGGTAAGACCACATCTACAGTACACCTAGGGGGCTGCCAGAAGGAAGCATCACCCTCCTAGACATCACAGGACTCAGAAAGGTTTTATTTACTCAAGGGATGTAAAAAGTTAGCAGAGCAATGATGAAAAGCCTCAGAGATTTTATTTTCCCATGATACATATAGTCATCTCCAATCAAACAAAGGAAAAGGACAAGTAGAACAAGACTCAATTTCCTGCACTTTGGAGAACAAGTTGAGTCATTTTCCTTAGGTTCCTGTCCACTTCAAGAAATTGCAGGCTCCCAAATGCCCAATTGCAGGTTCACAGACTATAAGTAGATACTTGTTCAAGGACTCAGTGGCTGCACCCAGTCTTATCCTTGTTTTCAGGAGAGATCATCGGGGGACATGAAGCCAAACCCCACTCCCGCCCCTACATGGCTTACCTTAGGATCAGGCGTGAGAAATCTTGGAAAATTTGTGGTGGCTTCCTGATTCAAGAGGACTTTGTGCTGACAGCTGCTCACTGTTTGGGGAGGTGAGAAAGGAAAAACAGTCCACAATCTACAGGAAACACTTCTCAGAGCCCTTTTTCTGGGGAGCTCGCTGAGCTAATGGACATAACCATGAGGAGGTCTGGTAAGAGTGAGAAAATGTCATCATATACCAAGGGGAGAGAAACAAGTTGGCAGCAAAGAATTCCTGATATAAGGAAAACCAGGGCAATCAAACCTGATTACATGTAGACCCAGAACCATACTTTTGGATAACCATGCAAAGAAAAGCAGTTTCATGTCATTTCCTGGAGGCACTGACCACTGAGAACCTCTGGTGCCCAAGGTGTCCTCCCTCAGTACTAAGAAGGAGGCACAGCCATTCATGCAGGTTGCCCTTTGTCCTCTACAGCTATGTCCTGTTTCAGCTGTGGCCTGCTTTTACAGATCCTGGGTTGTCTCTTTTGTCACTCCCCATCCACCAATCCACTTGTCTCTGTGTACAGCCAAATAGAGGTCACCTTGGGGGCCCACAACATCAAGGAACAAGAGGACACCCAGCAGGTATTCCATGTACAAAATGCATTTCCCCACCCAGACTATAATCGAAATAAAAGCATCAACGACATCATGCTGCTGAAGGTAAGGCACATGTCCTTGTCACTCTTGCTCTCCTCAAGAATGGTTGCCACTTCCACTGGCACCCTGCCCCTGCCCTCCTTGCCATAATGTCCATCACACTGTGCATACCCAGGAGCATACACTGAACTGGACTTCCTTACTTATTTTCCACCAGCTGGAGAAAAAGGCCAAGCTGACTAAAGCTGTGCAGCTCCTCAACCTGCCCGAGCGCAGGACAGAGGTGAATCCAGGTACCCGGTGCCAGGTGGCTGGATGGGGAAATTTTACTCCAGAGGAAACACATTCAAGAACACTGCAGGAAGCGGAGATGATAGTGCAGAAGGACGAGAAGTGTCAGGAGCGCTTTAAAAAGTATGATCGTGCTACTCAGATTTGTGTGGGAGACCCAAATATTAAAAATACTTCGAATAAGGTAAGAGGAGCCATATGTCACAATTGGCTTTGTGGGAAAGAGTGTTTGGGACAGATCTAGTACCATGAGACTCAAGCATCGTGGATTCCTTCATCCCATAGGCTGTTATGTTTCTCCCAGAAAAGAGAAGAAGGGAGCAGTCTGAGCTGGGATGTTCTAAGTTGATACCATTTTACTAAGGGGCCTCTGGTGAAGGAAACCCCACTGGAAGCTTCCGTTTGCAACACATGACATGAGCTCAAGGCACAGGCATGAGAAAAATTTTTCTCTGGTATGCAGGAAATACAACCTTCTCTGAGACTGAAGCCCTCTTTGTCAATGAGCTCATCATCTGTGCTCATTGTCAGACTTGGTCATCAGCCACCCTGGCCAGTAAAGAATGGTCCTCACAACTCTACAGGGGTGAGGTCCAGACCAGGGGATGAAGACAAAGGCTGGATCCAAGAGTGAAAATGTCCACAGTCAGAGCTCAGCCACTAAGAGCCTATAGTTCCCTCTAATTTCTCACAAGCACACCTTACAATCAATAATGCATGAGACAGTTTGGGATAATGGAAGTGAGAAGTGAGGTGGTGCCATGGTTCACAGACTCACTCTCTATTTACAGGGTGACTCCGGAGGCCCCCTGGTGTGTAATAATGTGGCACAGGGCATTGTCTGCTATGGACGTATAAATGGAATGACACCAAGTATCTTTACCAAAGTCTCATGTTTTCTACACTGGATAAAGAAAACCATGAAACAGAGCTGACAGCTCACAGCAAAGTAAATCCCCTCTATCAGCAATTGTCTTACCTGAATCTCGATCTAGAATCACTCTAGAGCAGATGCCAGCAACTAAATAAATGTTTCATCTCAGTGGAAGGCTAGTTTTTGTTTGCTCACTTACTTTGATTCATGGGGACCAACTCTGTGGTAAGCAGGACAGTGACACTGTTCTGATGATTTCTGACTTCTCCACTCAATACCTTTCCAAATCCCCTCTCAAAACTGTTAGCATGCTCCTCCTTATACACTTTAGCTTCTCCACAGCCTCTCTTTTTGCAAGGGCTAAAGTTAAGCACCAACTGAAGAAAAAGGGAACATCTTTCTTCCTAAGGCTCCATGGAACATGTGACTTCCTTTGTGTCACATGTAGAGGGGAAAGGGATGATTTCATGGGTCCTGGAGTTCAGCCAGGAACCACTGAGGTCACGACTGTACCCCATCAGGCTCCGTAGAGGAAGGGTATTCCTGAGCAGAACATTTCTCTCCCACAGATTTAGGGATACACATGGAATGCAGGGTAACCTGACTGACTCTTCACCTTCACCTGAAATTTTCTTCTCCATTCTGCTCTAAGATCAAGGCTTACCTTAGCTTACAGCCACCTGGCTGCCCATTTTTATCCCCCCAAGAATTGTCACTGTTGACCAACTACTCTTCTTAGGAGGCCACACTGATTTGATAATGTAACCTCTTCAAACCTCCCAATCCAGGACCAAAAATCTGTCTCTCTTCACAAGTTAATGAAACCTTGGTTCAGAACTGGGTGGTGGCCTTTATTCTGCTTTGCTATTGTTCTGACTGGACTTAGGATCCCCTTTGTGCCCCACAACTACATTCACTGGTTTAATTCTTTATTCATGGAATGAGTTTCACTGGAGTTGGTAGACTGAAATTTCTTTATTAGAATTCCAAGAGCCTTTCCTGGGTTTACAAATATAATATCCTCCTGACTGTGACAAGACTGGAATGGTTTCTGTATTAGTGTGAACAAAGTGCTAGGCCAGATGCTGGGAATTAGCTCATCTGGCAAGGCACTTGCCAGGCAATCACAAGGTACTGAGTTCAGTCCTATGTACAAAACGAAAAATAGTTCTAGGTTTTAGGTTCTATGATGAACATAATCATAGACCCCAGTGAAGCTGCAATGGTCACAGGCTTTCCAAATAAACTCCCTGTCCATCCTTCAGATTGTTCCATGAGGCCTGTGTGGAAAATCTGTGAAATAAAGTATCTTATTTATATTTCTTCTTACAGTTTCTATCAACATTATCACATGATACATCAAAATTGTATGAGATTTAAAAATGAACTTAGTCACACACTTTTCAGATAGGAAGTTGCTAAATGATTCAAAACAGGACTCCTAGGTGATAAGATAATGAGGCAGGCTTATTTTCATTTGTTTGAAAAGAAACAGATATACATGTTTTCATACAAAATCCAATTACAGGAAACACACATATCCAGTCCAACTGCTGGGAACCATAATCCCTGTCAGTACTACAGTGCCCTCCTCTGAAGAATCAAACTTGAGTCTTGGAGGCCAGCACAGAAGAAAATGGGGAAATATCTATAATATTTAAGTCATCATGATTGTTGATACATCCATTATATCTAATACTATCCAAGCTTCACTTTGTTGAGAAGCTCATAGCTTAGAGAACACAAAGTGCACGGCATTTTGTCCTTTGGGTGATGGGTTTACCTTGCTGAACATTCTCTCCACCTGGAACTGCACAGTCAGGTCACTAATACTCCACAATGCCTGGCAGAATTCGGCTCAATCTTAATGCCTCTATGTCCCAAATACACAAAATAATACATTATTTTGTGGCACAGAGTTAAATCTCACTCTGACATCATGTAATTCTCAAAGGACTGCCTTCTCCCATCTTGTTTAGAAAGCATGCTACATCATAGTCTCATAATTGTCTTGTGTAGCTTTACAAGGGAAAATCAGCTTCTGACTTGAGCCTGAAAACCAAGATTCCTGCACCTAATACCTACTGATGTTCTGGCTCCTTCCTCAGGAAAAAAAAATGAAAATCCACAAAGCAAAAAATCAAAAAACAATATTTAAAATGTTTCCCAGTCATATACATAAATACTTCTGGGTTCTATTTACTTTGGGGAAATGGGTTTGTAGTTTAAACTCCTTTGAAATGGATTACTGTAGATTGGTCCCAATGCTACTCTAAGAGAAGAGAAAGAAACAGAGTCCCAGGAAAAGATAGTGATGACCGAATGTAATGCAAAAGTTAGGAGAGTGCTTGGACTGAGGCAGGTTCCCCAACTGTCTGCCTACCAGCAGCCCTGGTCTTCTAACTCTCAGTCCATGTTTTGTCTCCATCTCCAGAATCTTGAACTTTGCTGGTCTATTGGTCTTACTTCCTGAATAACAAGGCCACTGTCATCTGTTTACATCTGCCATGATGACAGGTGGATTATTGATCCTGATATCTAAGGGAAGATAGGATTCCCTGAATTGACCCTTAGTGACAGTGAATGAAAGTCAATGTAAGGCCATAACAGGGGTATCCTGACTTCACCAGGTTACCTTGCTAGGACAACTGAGTTGAGATCTACCAATTTGTGACCTTTATTATCTGCAAGGAAAAGGAAAGGAAGTGTGCATTTTGATATAGATGTGAACTGTTACCTCCATTTTCCATGACATACTATCTAAGGTTTCTCATCTTCTTGTATCTACACATGTAGTTAGTAATAGGTATCTCCCACACTGGAGTTTTATATAACATATCTAAAGTAGCTGGTATATTCTCTCAAGAACAGTAAGAAATGAATCCATATAAATTCCCATTGTTTCACCAAGTACTATAGTTTTCCATGCCAGGATTTACTCAATCAAATGATACTTAAAAATTATTTCAAAAATTCTTTTCTTGAAGCTACTTATGTTGTTCTAAGAGATGTTATTATATATATATATATATATATATATATATATATATATATAATTTGGAATGATTTAGTAAGGCTTATCAACATAACAAACAATTTAATAATTCTGATACTTTATACTCAGAGCATCTGAAATTTCCACTTAGCAATTCTAAAATATACACTACTAAGTGAGATCAGTGTGATGTATACACACTACTAAGTATGTATACACACTACTGAGATTTCCAGAAACACAAGCATCTCTTCACTTTTGTGACTCAACAATTTACATGAAGGCATAGGAAATTTCTCCAGCAGAGACCAGCAAGAGAGCAGCCTCAACCCTAAAACAGAGGAACAGTTAATAGATTCACAGACAACACTGAACAATACACAATGAGAATCAGGAGTGGAATGATCTAGGCTCCTGAACTGCAAAACCTGAGTGCCAACATTCATTCCATACACATCCTCAGAGAGTTTCAAGCTAGGACTAAGCTCCAGTTGAATGGCATCCTCTGAAAAAACGGGAAATTGGGACATAAAGACATAAGAGCCTCACCTCGTGATGATAGATACAGATGGGAAGTATGTATTCACAAGCCAGGAAGTGAGAACTACTGCTGATGGAATGGCCTTAGATCAAGAATACATACCCAAAAGCTCTTGCATTCAGAGGTGGGCATTTAGAAGACAATTTTCTGGGATCATGAAATGCTAAATAATGAACATCTAAGCAAACCCGTTACTCATTGCAACAGAGTAAACAATGGTTTATTATGATTCAGTGAGTTTTGATTCCCAAACGTTTCATCTTAAGAAAAATCTAGACCATTTGATGTGGCTTATGTCTGTGGCCGCCGGCCTCATAAGTTTGCACTGTGCACTAGCTTTGATCTGGAACTTTCTCCTTTGTCTCACCCAGGAGTTTTTTAACCACAGATCCAATTCCATACCCAGACTCACAAATTCAAAGCTGGCTGGACACATCCCAGGGTTTCAAAAGAGGGTGTTTTCAAATGATTTTGTACATGTTAGACTCTCCACAGAATTTCCTGCATTATCCAGAAATGAGTTGTCCTCAGAAAAACATTAAAAAACCAAAATCAAGAACACATAAAGCAGTGAATGTGAAGCAACAAAACTAAGTATGTAAATCGTGATACTCAATACCAGAACAGGGCAGCTTAGACGAACAACCAGTGGGGGGCGGGTGTCACAGACCCAGTTGCACTATCCAGTGCCCAACCACCCCAGTCCCTGCCCTTAAGAGAATCTCAGGGTGCAGCTAGAGTCAGAGGTGTTATGATGACTGCATCCATTTTTCAATTACCCTGGCTCCAACTTAGGACTTTGCAGCTTCACTCTAATGATCTTTTCTACCTCTGCCTTGCTGGCTTCCCTTGTGGACACTGTCTTGGGGACCACTCCCTCCTCCTAAAATTGTATGGCCCTCCATGCCAGCACAATACACTGGCCCATCAAGCACTGATGAAACGTTGATTACACATCAGATATATACCCCAAAACAACTCTTGAGATCATAGAATGTGTTAGGCCTATGTCATTAGGATTTTGGAGAATTGAACCTCATAATCATATAGGAAGATTATTAGAAAGTGCCAACAATCCAGAAATTAACAGATGTTCAAACAGACTTGTAACATTCAGTGAGAAAACAGGAATGAAGGCAGCTGCCCAGTGTCTTCTGAAACTGTACAGTCAGTCATCCCAGTTCCAGGCATGTGTCCAATGTAAGAAGTAGAAGACCAGCACTACCCTGACTTTCTCAGAACATTTCAGATTTAGAAAACCTCTGGTTCCAAGGCATGCAGCCTGCACACATAAAATGAGTACCCACTGTAGGGTATAGAGCACCCCAGATCCCACCCTCAACCCTCACTTTCCCCAGTCTTCTCTCTTGACCACACTGCTCCCAGCCACCCCATCTTCAGCTTTTCTTTCAGAGGAGATCATCGGGGATTATGAGGCAAAGCCCCATTCCCATCCCTAGATGGCCTTTGTCCAGGTTCTGAATGGTCAGAGGATGAAGAGATGTGGTGGTGTCCTGGTGCGAAAGAAATTTGGACTGACAGCTACACACTGCAAGGGAAGTTGAGGAGGGAAAACCAGCCCACATTTGCCAAAAACCAATGGGGACTTCTGTCTTCTATAGGAACTGCAGTCTTAGG